TGCAGACCTATTCTTGCTTTTCTACTACTTGTCATCTGCCACAGAGGTGGGCAAGAGAATCCACATCCTGGACGTTAGAAAACAAAAGACCACATTTCCCAGACTCCCCTGTGGTTCTGTTGTGCATGTGACTTGGCTTTAGCCAAGCAAATGACTATGGGGAATTTGGAAGGGGAAAGTGAGGGAAAGGGCACAGACAGTTTGGGAGGGATTTCAGTTCTCCGCCTCCCTCTTGGCTACTGTCTCACGGATCTTGGGTAGGGTACAGAGCATTCATTTTGTTGGCATGGACTGTGACTGAGATGTTAGGTTCCTGGAGGTGACAGTTGGTACAGTGGCCTCCTGGTTGGTTCCTGGCTTCCTGGTCATGGAGGTAGATGCGTCCTTGGTGGGCCAGTTCTGTGGTGCAGATCTGGCAGTTGTACCTGGAAGCTTAGCCTGGAGGCTAACCCACTGCAGCCCTTTCAACAATTTTATGGTGATCTAATTTTCTGTATTAAACCCCTTTTTGACAAAAGTACCTAGGGTAATTTCTGTTTTTTGCAGTTGACTCCTAAGTGTTTAGTACTGTTATCTTTATAGATATAATATCATGTCATTTTTTAAAATTAAACTTTTTATTTTATAGTAATTACAGATTCACATACAGTTGTAAGAAATAATACACAGATCCCATGAAACCTTTACCCAGTTTCCCCCAGTGCTAATATCTTGCAAAACTATGATATTATTATCACAACCAGGATGCTGACATTGATACAGTCGAGATATAGAACATTTCCATCACCACAAAGATCCCTCAAGCTGTCCTTTGATAGCTACACTCACTTCCCTCCCACCCCTTCCTTAACCCCTGGCAACTGCTAATCTGTTCTCCATTTCTATAATTTTGTCATTTTTAAAATACATTTAAATAGAACCATACAGCACATGACCTTTGGGGATTGGTATTTTTCACTCAGCATAATTCTCTGGAGATTCATCCAGGTGGTTGTGTATATCAGTAGCTCACTCCTTTTTATTTCTGAGTAGTATTCCACAGTGTGGATGTACCATAGCTTGTTTTAACCATTCACCCACTGAAGGCTATCTGAGTTGTTTCTAGTTTTTGGCTGTTGCAAAAAAAGATACTATAAACATTTGTATACATATTTTGTGTGAAAATAAATCTTCATTTCTCTGTAATAAATTCCTAGGAGTGCTGTGGCTGGGTCATGTGGTAATTGCATGTTTAATTTTTGAAGAAACTGCCAAACCTTTTCCAGAGTGAATGTATGAGTGATCCAGTTTCTCTACATCCTTGTCAGCATTTGGTACTGTCAGTTTTTATTTTGGCTATTCTAACATATGTATAGTGATATCTTGTCATTGTAATATTAATTTCCCTATTGGCTAATAATATACATAACCCCTTTGATAAAGTATCTCTCAATGTCTTTTGCCCATTTTTTAATTGGATTGTTTTGTGTTTTCACTGTTGAGTTTTGAGAGTTTATATATTCTAGATACTAGTAATTTTCTCAGATATGTGGTTTGCAGAAGTTTTAAATTTTGGCTAAAACTTACCAATTTTTCCTGTTATGGATAGTTTTTTTGATGTTAAGGGTAAGACCTTATTGCTTAGGCCTAGATCCTAAAGAGTTTTTTTTTCCCCTAAAAGTTTTATAGTTTTACCTTTAAGTCCATGATCTATTTTGAGTTAATTTTTGCCCTGCAAATTTTGATATGTTATATTTTCATTTTTATTTAGTTCAGGATATTTATTTCCCTTGAGACTTCATCTTTGAAGGATTATTTAGTAGTGTGTTGTTTAGGTTCCAAGTGTTTGGAGATTTCCTCTCACATTTCTGTCAGTGATTCTAATTTGGTTCCATTGTGGTGAGAGAACACACTCTGTATGATTTCAATTCTGTTAAATTTGTTTTATGGCCCTGAATGTGTTGTATGTTCCATGGCACTTGAAAAGAATGTGTATTCTGCTGTTGTTGAGTGTGAGCAGGGCTGTGTTCCTTTTTGGAGGCTATAGAGGAAACTATATTTCCTTGTCCTTTCCAGCATCCAGAGGCTGCCCACATTCTTTGACTCTTGGCCCCTTTCCTTTATCCTCAAAGACAGCAACATTGTATCCCTTCTTCTGTAGTCATCTTTCTCTCTAACTGCAGCTGGTAAGGGTTCTCCTCTTCTAAAGACTCATGTGATCAGATGGGGTCCACCTGGATAATCCAGGATAATTTCCTCATCTCACGGTCCTTAACGTTAATTATATATGCAGAGTCCCTTTTGCCATGTAAGGTAACATACCCACTGGTTCTGAGATCAGGACTTGGACATCTTTGTGAGGGCCACTATTTTGTCTACCACTCCATCTTTTTACTTTCACCTATCAATATACTTATATTTGAAGTGAATTTCCTGTAGACAATTTATAATTGGGTCATGTTTTAAATCTACTCTGGCAATCTTTGCCTTTTAGTTGGTGTAGCTATACCATTTATATTTCATGTAGTTATTTTTTTTTTTTGAGACAGAGTCTCACTCGTTTGCCCGGGCTAGAGTGAGTGTCGTGGCGTCAGCCTAGCTCACAGCAACCTCAAACTCCTGGGCTCAAGCGATCCTTCTGCCTCAGCCTCCCGAGTAGCTGGGACTACAGG